CCGAAATTGGGGAAGGAGAGATGCTTCGTGATGTTGATTTCAAGCTGGGTGGGGGATTTCTTGTCGGATGATGATGATTTGGTTGTTTGGGGGATTGTGAGGATGAAGAGACATATTTCCATGATGTATTCTTCTTTTTTTTTTCCCCTAAGCCTGGTGATGACAGCCGGCGGCAGAGGTCTAGGTTCCACTCACCTCTCGGCTGGGTGACGGGCAAAATTTCATACAATGAGAAAAAAAATGATTTTTTATTTTTTGCAGTATATGTTGCGCATATAAGTAGTATATGTTTTCGTTGTTCGTGCTTCGTGTGTTCCTCATATGGTCCGTGCTTAATTTATTTATCATATACGGATTATAAACACAATATATACTGTTCATTAAAAACAATTGACAGTTGAAATTTAAATATCACAATTGTGGTAAACAAAAATGCTATGTAAATAAAAAATCAGGTTATATACTTACTATATACTGACTATAAACACAATATATACTGTCTATTTAAAAAAAGCTGAACATATACTCAACATATACACAATATATTCTACTTATTAAAAAACACGAGAACTGAAAAAACTAAATATATACTCAATATATACACAATATATACTACCTATTAAAAAACATGAGAATTAAAAACCTACGATCTGCGCAAATTAAGGAAGTGACAGTTATATTGAATTGAACACCCTAATTAGTAGGAAATCTAAACTACCATATATATATGGTATCAAGCGTAAATTATGGGAAACTTTGCAATAATATGGTAACTGCCAATAAGAAGTAATCTAATTAAATCTTATCTTTTTTAGGTAAACATGCAATTATTTTTAGTGGGATTGTAGAGTTACAAAATTTATTGAATCGTATGGGATATGTGTAAATGCCCCCATAAATAAATATATTTCTCCAGTCCAACTTTGACAGTTGCCTATTAGGTTATAAATAAAAAGGGTTAAAAGAAAAATGTTGTTTTTCTCTGTGGCTCTGGACATCTCGAAACCTCTGGGTATTTCAGAATCTGCTACTTCCTACTTCCAGTTCATGTGGTGATCTCGGCTGCTCGCAAGGATTGGATTACTTTTTCTTCGATCTAGTTTTCTTTGTTATTTTTCTCGTTTGTGGGTTGTTTCAGAGGCTATGTTCCTAACTAGGCAGTTGTTGGTAGTGGTTTTGCAGTAGTCTATTGTTTGTAGTTTTTTCTTGTTTTAGTGTTTTGAGGCCCTAGAACGCTTTCATGCGTATCTCCCAGTTTGTTGTTTCGGTTGATTTATTTGGGTTTCCCCTTTGCATTTGAACCATGTTCACGTTTTGAGCGTATATATAGATCTCTCTATCGTTTTGAAAAAAAAAAAATTGTCAATTCTACTTCTTTTAAATCAATCTCACAAATTTTTTTACAGTCCTAGTTAATGAAAAAAGGCAAAGATAATTGGCTTTGGATGATATTACAATTTTTCCCTTTATGAATGAGAAACATGTTAGAATAGACAAGTTTTACGTTATGTTGTTTTGCATTAGATAGTGTGGGTCGTCATCGGGCGAACCGAAGATCATGCTATCAGTTACTCGCAAAACAAGAATAAGTGGTTCACAACCCAGATGGACGTGAACACCCCATCGCGAACGGTTGTAGTGTTAACTGTACAATTTGTCTTGACTGATTAGTTGCACTAGTACATTTATGTATTGAACAAGATCCTAGAGAGGAGCAGTTCGTTTTATACTGATCGTCGTAAACGAACTAGGCCTCGGTTAATTACTGCGTACTCTTAACCCGTAAGATATTAAACAAACATATATATGTAGTATTTTTTACTTTGATTCACATGGGTGAGGCTTAGTGAACTGGGCCAATAGACCCGTTGTCTTGGGTAATATTGCTACATGTAGGATGTGCTGTTAGGATATTTACGGTCACCATGTGCGTTAGTTTGATGATGTCCCCGGATTGAGTTCATGAAGGATTATTATGCTAAACCCTGCAGGTGGATTAAAATTCCGGCATAGTACTAATGTGATGAACGAGCGCTAGCTTCAGTGAAATAATAATAAATTAATTAATTCTTGATTGTCAGTAATCGAATTAATTAATGGACATTATATCTTAAACGTGGGGAGATAAATCGAGTAATTATTATTAGAGTTTCAATTGTAAATTGGGCTAGGAAAAGGGAGTGCAATAATATTATGTTGGTGACCCATTTAATATTATTTAATTAATTAAAATAAGTGGCTTGGTCCACAAGTATTTTAATTAATTAAGGAGCCTTAATCCTAATCTCCCAAGGATCCCTACCGTAGCTTTATATATACATCATTAAACTCATGGGAAGAGAAGAGAATTCCACATCTTGGAAATCACGCCCCATGCCTCTCTTCTCTCTCTCTCAGTTCCCATTC